AATGTAAAACGAGTACAAATTAATTTCGTTTATGTTTTACTAAGAAAAATAAAAATAAAATACTATAAACTGAAATATATATACTTTAAATATAACACAATTAACAAATTTAGTTTATCACTATAAATGTTTTTAGGTTTGGTTTTTTAAAAATTATTGGATAAAGAACACAATTCACAAATAAACTGTTGTAAGCCTGGTGTGCATTCTTCATGAGACCGTTTTTGGCAAACCTGACATTGAATTCACTGTTCTCTTGATCGGCTGTTGGAAAATGATTCAAAACAATAGATGCACTAAATATAAACATTGCACAAACAAAACAACAGACAGTTTTACAAACTAAACAACAGCTAGTTGTTTAGTTTGTAAACAAAACAATAAACAGTTGAACTTCTGCAATCTTTTTTCTATAATTATACTAAACATTGGATCGGAATCTAAAGTTATGCACGTTGAAATAAAAATAATTTAGGTTACAGATATTTAGTTAAAAAAATATAACACTTTGACTTTAGATTTTTAAATAATATCTTAAACATTAAAATATTCCTCAATAATGCGGAAAATAAACAAAGCCAATAAAAAATCTGCAAGCGGCGTTTAATTTGCAGCGCATGGAGTCGAGGCAAGTGTGACAACCATCCCCATATATTTTGTGACAAGCAACCCCTTCTGAGTAAGTTGCTGGACAACTGTACATTTACCTAAAAGCGTGAGAATTTCATGATAATTTTTTACGGATTAAGTTACTCAAATGAATAAAGTACTTTATAAATCTACATTCAAAACACAATAAATTAATGTTCGTTTGGTAAAAGAAAATTTCTGAGTAGGCGAAATTTTACTTTTTCATATCAAAAACCTTTAAAAACGAATAACTTTTCTTCTGCACGCTAAAAAAAGATAAAAATTACTGTAAAAATGTTTTTTTTATATAACATTTCCATTGCATAATTTGAAATTTCAAATATCTTATTTACATTTCCTGTAATAAACTTTGTGACAACCAACCCGCGTGACAACCAACCCCGCTCTCCCCTATATATTGAGAAGGCATTATATGGCATAATCGCGGATAATATATCTATAAAATGAAAAAATTTTAAAATTTTATTTTAAAATTTAAAAAATCTTTTTGTTATATTATTAATTTTTTGCTATAAATATATATATGCAAGATTGAACAAAATTTCAAAATTCATAACGCAAAGAGAAGGTCTTAAACGCCCGTCCCCCTCCCCCCATCAAAAAACAAAACAAAACAATACTGATAACAGTGCACTTAACCTCTGAGCTATCAATAAAATGCATTTCGCAGGAAAACAAACCTAATTATAAGTCTCTGATAAGCTCTACCTTAATGCAATTAAGGCATAAAACAAAAAAAACTCGTAAAAAAAAACAACCGATAAACAAATTCGATTGGTTGTTAGTAGTAAACCGAAAAAATTTAAAAAGTTTACCGCCTTGTTTTTTTTTCATTGTTTTTGCATTCTGAATGGAATATTTTATCATTTCAAGATGGCCGAATAAGTCCCGAGTATATCAAAAAATGATACTAAATACCGAATACAGTTTTTTATATGGGAGAAAAATTAACACTACCATAGATTATCTAAATCAAACGTGACATTATTGTTAAACATACTCATTTAGGCGTAATATTGAAAATAGTAACTTAAATTTTAATAAAAAAATGGTTTTTCATAGATAATTTTTTCCAAATTTCCCTAATCGACTGAAAACTGATAAAGGTGAAATTTTTAATAAAAAAACAATTGCTGAGAGACTGAATAATTTTTTTATAAATGTTGGGAAAAATTTAGCCAAAGAAATCTCTCCAAGTAGCAAAACATTCCAGTCTTTTTTGAAAAAATCAGATTTTATTATGGACAATTCGGAACTTTCCATTGAAGAACTTCGTTCAGCTTTTGACATGCTTCAGAAAAATAAAAGTGCAGGTCTTGATGAAATTAATACAAATGTTTTGAAAAGTGTCTTTGATATTATCGAATTGCCTCTTTTCATTATTTTTAAACTTTCATTAAAAAACGGGGACTTTCCTGATCAATTAAAACTTGCTAAAATAATTCCAATTTATAAAAACGGTGACGATTCTTTAGAATCAAACTACAGACCCATCTCAATTCTTTCCTGTTTTTCAAAGGTACTTGAACGTATAATGTATAATAGAATATATAACTTCATCGATAAAAACAATATTTTGTATCCTAAACAGTTTGGATTTCGGAGAAATCATTGCAATGA